GCGCAGGGATGCACCTTGCCGTCCGTGGGGAAACGCTGGGATAGTACCCCACCAACCCCCACCTCTGACGCATCAACCTCCACCACAAACTGCCGGGAAGAATCAGGGGCTACGAGGATGGGAGCTGAAATGAAGCAGCTTCCCCCAAAAAGGGGACTGACTGTGCATGGAAAACGCATTTCTCCGCCTTGACAAAAAGCCCATTCTCTAACAGCCTCTGAAGCACTCGTCTGACGTGCTGAACATGTTCCTGGAGAGAACGAGAAAATATCAGTATGTCATCCAGGTAAACATAAATGAACTGATCTACCATATCTCTCAGCACATCGTTAACGAGTGCTTGGAAAACCGCGGGCGCATTGGAAAGGCCAAAGGGAAGAACAAGATATTCAAAGTGCCCCCTGGGGGTATTAAAAGCGGTTTTCCATTCATTCCCCTCTCTCATGTGAACCAAATGATAAGCGTTGCGGAGATCTAATTTCGTGAAAAATTACGCCCTCTGCAGACGCTCGAAAGCCGACAACATCAACGGTAAAGGATAAGTATTCTTCACCATGATGTCGTTTAAGCCCCGATAGTCAATACAGGGACGAAGAGAGCCGTCCTTCTTTTTCACGAAAAAAACCCCGCACCGGCCGGAGATGAAGAGGGGCGGATGATCTTGGCTGCTAAAGAATCAGAAATATATTTCTCCATGGCCTCCCTCTCCGGAGTGGAAAGTGAATATAATTTGCCCTTAGGTGGAGACGTACCTGGCAATAAGTCTATTGCACAGTCATAGGGACGATGAGGAGGTAGAGAAGCAGCCCGAGACTTACTGAAAACTCCCTTCAGATCAAGGTACTCACGTGACACGTTAGACAGGTCCGAGTGATCCTCCTGAAACACAGAACAGAAGACGGGAGAACACGCAGACAACAAACAGGTAGCATGACAATATTCGCTCCCGCCCAGGACAGTATTGCCTCCCCAATTAATATGAGGGTTATGGAGAACCAGCCAGGGATGACCCAGCACCAACGGAGCAGTGGGCGTGTCGGTGAGGAGAAAGTGAATGTCCTCAGTGTGTTGACCCGAAGTGATGAGTCTTAATGGTGCAGTGGCGTGAGTGACGGAGGGTAAGGACTGGCCGTTGACAGTCTTGGTGGAGGTTAAGGCCATCAAAGGTGCAGCTAGCTGGCTGAAACTGCGAATAAAACGCCGGTAGAAATTGGCAAAGCCCAGAAACCTCTGCAGGGCCTTGCGGGAATCTGGGGTTGGCCAATTCACCACAGCCTGAACTTTCTCGGAATCCATGCGCACCCCCTCGGCCGAGATGATGTATCCCAAAAAAGGAACAGACTGTGCATGGAAAGCGCATTTCTCCGCCTTGACAAAAAGCCCATTCTCTAACAGCCTCTGAAGCACTCGTCTGACGTGCTGAACATGTTCCTGGAGAGAACGAGAAAATATCAGTATGTCATCCAGGTAAACATAAATGAACTGATCTACCATATCTCTCAGCACATCATTAACGAGTGCTTGGAAAACCGCGGGAGCGTTGGAAAGGCCAAAGGGAAGAACAAGATATTCAAAGTGCCCCCTGGGGGTATTAAAAGCGGTTTTCCATTCATCCCCCTCTCTCATGCGAACCAAATGATAAGCGTTGCGGAGATCTAATTTCGTGAAAAATGACGCCCCCTGCAGACGCTCGAAAGCCGACGACATCAACGGTAAAGGGTAAGTATTCTTCACCGTGATGTCGTTCAAGCCCCGATAGTCAATACAGGGACGAAGAGAGCCGTCCTTCTTCTTCACGAAAAAAAACCCCGCACCGGCCGGAGATGAAGAGGGGCGGATGATCTTGGATGCTAAAGAATCAGAAATATATTTCTCCATGGCCTCCCTCTCCGGAGTGGAAAGTGAATATAATTTGCCCTTAGGCGGAGACGTACCTGGTAATAAGTCTATTGCACAGTCATAGGGATGATGAGGAGGTAGAGAAGCAGCCCGAGACTTACTGAACACTCCCTTCAGGTCAAGGTACTCACGTGGCATGTTAGACAGGTCCGAGTGATCCTCCTGAAACACAGAACAGAAAACGGGAGAACACGCAGACAACAAACAGGTAGCATGACAATATTCGCTCCAGCCCAGGACAGTATTGCCTCCCCAATTAATATGAGGGTTATGGAGAACCAGCCAGGGATGACCCAGCACCAACGGAGCAGTGGGCGTGTCAGTGAGGAGAAAGTGAATGTCCTCAGTGTGTTGACCCGAAGTGATGAGTCTTAATGGTGCAGTGGCGTGAGTGACGGAGGGTAAGGACTGGCCGTTGAGTGCAAGCATAGAGATGGGCTGTGAAAGCTCCACCATGGGTATCTGAAGGGTCCGAGCGAAACCAATGTCTAAAAAATTCCCCTCCGCTCCCGAGTTCACTAAAGTCTAACAGTCATAATTAAATGACTGTATTACCAGCCTCACAGAAAGATGAGTGCTCAAACAAGAGGATTTGTGTCTAGCGGGACCTTCCCACCTGCATGGGCTCGGGCTCTGGAAGAGAGAACACAACTTTACTGGTGACTGATGGCAAATGACTCTGTGAGGAGAACGGCGGTTCTCGGAGTTGTCGTTGAGCCCGCCTCCACAATCGGGTGTCCACTCGAATAGCTAGAGCTATGAGTTCGTCCACACCAGTAGGTAACTCCGACGAATCTATCTCGTCTTTAACCGTATCAGAAAGCCCAAACAGAAACATGTCCCACAGTGCCTCAGTAACCTCTTACCTACTGGCGGGTGTTGGCTTTTACTGGACACTGTGCTGCAATGTGTCCGGTGGCACCACAGTATAAGCACAGTCCCTCTCTCTTACGTCTCTACTTCTCCTGTTGCGAGAGTCGGGACCTTCCCACCTGCATGGGCTCGGGCTCTGGAAGAGAGAACACAACTTTACTGGTGACTGATGGCAAATGACTCTGTGAGGAGAACGGCGGTTCTCGGAGTTGTCGTTGAGCCCGCCTCCACAATCGGGTGTCCACTCGAATAGCTAGAGCTATGAGTTCGTCCACACCAGTAGGTAACTCCGACGAATCTATCTCGTCTTTAACCGTATCAGAAAGCCCAAACAGAAACATGTCCCACTGTGCCTCTGCATTCCACCCACACTCTGCAGCCAATGTGCGAAACTCAATCGAATAGTCTGTGACCGTGCTCTGTCCTTGGCGTAACTCGGAGAGAAGTCGTGCTGCTTCTCTGCCCAAAGCAGCATGATCAAACAGCCTCCGTAGCTCCCCGGAAAATGCCTGAAATGAAGAGCAACAAGGAAGTCTCTGTTCCCACACGGTGGTTCCCCAGCTAGCCGCTCGTCCCGAGAGCAACGTTATCACAAACGTCACTTTAGCCTCCTCAGTGGGGAATGATGACGGTTGGAGGGAAATGTACAGCGAACATTTGGCCAGAAAAGAACGACATAACTGGGGTTCCCCGGAATAAAAGGCTGGAGGTGGTAGCCGAGGTTCATGGGTGCGGACAATCGGGCCCACCGAGACCGGTGGATGAAGCATGGCTGGTTGCTGACCTGAAGCCGTCTCTGCCTTCAGATGCTGGATCTGGGTGGTAAGCTCAGACACCTGAACAACCAGGGCCTGGACGGCACGCCCCGTGGCCATCATCTGATCCTCCTGACGCTCCATGCGAATGTTTGTCTTAGACAAAAAGTCTCTGAGTTCTGCCGCACTCGCTGGATCCATATACTGGTCGGTTCGTTCTGTTACGGGAGAGAAAAGTCAAGATCCAAGTGCAAGTGCAAAATAAGGGTTTATTTTGAAACCACAATAGACGGAGACAGAATGGGATCATAATCAGGAGTCTCAGTCAAGATCAGGACTCCTCCCGAGCAGCGTTCTCCACTCAGCGCTGGCCTACCCAAGGCGAGGGCTGAAGATCCGTAACCTGGCTGAGCGTGAACTGGAAGCAGAGAACTGACAAGGAGACAGGACATGAGATATCGAACCGACAAACACACATTGAACAAAGAGCCCTTATAAAGGCATCGCTAATGAGTTGCAGCTGGCGCGCTCTGATAGATCGCTAGCTGCCACTACTAATGAATGATGTAACACACACACCCACATGACAAGACGCAAAAGGACCGCACGGACCCATGAACCGTGACAATCTAATTATACTAGTATCTAATGATTAAGTACTAGTATCTAAAAATACTAGTACCTAATGAATAACTAGTAGTACATAAAAATTATGTACTATTCACAATAGAAATATATACTAGTCAGAACTGAATAGTTGATATCTCGAAGACAGATCCCCATAGAAGTCAAGGTTACACTTTAAGGTGCCCTTATTAGAGTGCAATTATACATTTAAGTACTGAGTAATATTAATTAACTACATAAGTACATGTAGTTAATTAATATTACTCAGTACTTAAAACTATATGGTTAGAGTTAGGATTAGGGTTTTGCTTAGGGTTGCTTGCATGTAATTATGCATAATTTATTGTTATTATAATAGTAAATACATGTAACGTGTAACAAGGACACCTTAAAATAAAGTGTTACCGAAGTCAATAGCAAAAATTTGAAATTTGTTACAAGTAACAATAGAATGGTAACTATTGAAATAAGTACTAGTATATAATGAATAAGTACTAGTATCTAATAATACGTAACAGTATCTGATGAATAAGTACTAGCATCTTTTAAAAAGGTACTAGTAGCTAATGAATAAGTAGTAATTAATGCAAAATATACTAGTGTCAAAAAATAAGTACTAGTAGCATGAAAATAGATACTATGAATAAGTACTAGTAACTTTACAAAAGACACTAGTACCTAATAAGCACTAGTAGCTAAAGAATAAGCACTAGTAGCTAATGAATAAGTACTAGTACTTAATGGAAAATATACTAGTATCCAAAAAATAAGTACTAGTAGCATGAAAATAGATACTAGTACGGCTTATAGATTCAATGTTAAAAGGTCTTGCCATACAAGCCTTCGGTTTTACTGGAAATTGCGCAGCATATTTGATACATGCATCGGAGCCTTTGTGTCTGCAGGACTAAATGTAAGTAGTTATTGTGTTTATTACAACTTTCAAATTTAATGTTTGGAGAGGTTTTGGATAATTTTGATAAAAAAGGTTCCAGATGCCATAACTTTTGATTGCTTTGAACTATCAACACAAGATTTTCCACTAAATCGTCTACGAATGCCATATGAACATAAGTAACCTGATACTGTCTTGATCAAAATGTGCAAAACCTTTTTATAAATAATATTTACAAAATATTTATATTTAATATTTACATTAATATTTAATTTGGATAAATCGCCAGAGAAAGCAGTGTAAGCATTAGATTTCATGCATACTGATATTATTATTATTATTATTATTGTTATTATTTTTAAGCCTTAAAGGTGAAACGGAAAACTTGAGTCTGAAAGTTTCTTCACTACGTGCTATATGCAATATACATCTGAGTTTAGGCCTATATGCCAATATCTCAAGAGAGTGTTTGTCTGGTGAGATTATATAAAGTATTCAACAGAATTAATGCTCTGAATGGTCCTTATTTAGTGATAAAAATTACTTAGTAAAGGTAATGTGAGAAAGACACACACTAGTAAAAATTATTTGGCCAAATTATAAGCCTTTGTAACAAATATACATACACACAGTGTGGTTAAGAAATCTCAGAGTGAAATCCATAATCGTATTTAAATGTAAACAGGTTTTAAAGTTATAAGTTTATCTGTGTCAGCAGATGATACATGAAACTACCATTTATGGTAAATATTTCACAATATTTGACAGATGTCTTCAAAGGAAAAGTCACTTAGTTTATCACATTGACAGAGGAAGTCTTGAAACACACAGTGATCTTGTTCACTTTTGGTGAACAACTAGAAAAACAAACCATCACTTTTTTTCATCTTAAAAAAAAAAAAAACGCTTCTCATGAAGTAATTTCCTTTACCCCACCCATACCAGTGCAAAAAACAACCGTTTTGAGTCACTGTTTTACTGAATAGTACAATGAGTAAGAAAATATGCATTTGAATGTGCTCAGACAAATAAACTGTTGGTTGGAGGAACATCATAAATGATTACTATCCATTAATGTTTCTAGATCTGAAGGAGGTCCAGAATCAAGAATAACCTGCATATCACAGAGACTGACATCATGGCACAGACAACGAAAAATGTTGTCCTTATTGGAAGCACAGGAAATGGCAAAAGCAGCGTTGGGAATATGATTCTTGGAGAACCAGCATTCAGCACTAAAGCTTCGGCTAATTCTGTTACAACTGAATGTCAGAGAAAAGAGAAAATCATTAAAAAAAAAAAAATTGCAGTTATCGATACCCCTGATTTCTTTGACACAGAAAATGAGGAGAAGATGAAATCTGAGATAATCAAAGCTCTGATTGAATGTTCAGAAGGCATTCACGCCTTTGTCATTGTCCTAAAGGTCGGAAGATTCACAACAAATGAAAGGAAGATGGTGCAACAACTTCTGAACACATTGACAGAGGAGGTCTTTGAACACACAATGATCTTATTCACTTTTGGTAAGCAACTAGAAAAACACCAAACCATTGAAAAATTTGTGGAGACCAATTCACAACTAAAGCAGCTGGTTGAGAAATGTCGAGGTCGCTGTCATGTAATTGACAACAAATACAAAAAAACAAAAAACACAAAAAAAGTGATGAACACCATCCACGCCATGCTGCAAAAGGACAGCTGCTACACCAACGCTCTGCTTCAAGAGCTGAAGAACCAAACTGAAGAAAAGATGAAAGAAAAGAAAGCACACAAAATGAGTTCAGAAATGAAACAATTAAAAGCAAAGAACAATGTTCATGAAACAATTGTGAGGCGGGCTGCAGGAACAGCATCACGGGTGCTGGTTAATGCTTTTCTGGGTTCTTGTGATCTAGTAGGTTCAGATCTAATAAGAACGATTTCAGCAAGTCTAGAAAATATTGCTGAAATAGCTGCTGGAGCAAATGTTCTGGGTGCAGGAGAAGCAGCAGCAACAGTGGCTGCAAGTGCCAAAGCAGCATCTGCCGCTGTTGTTGTTAGTGCAGCTCTTGGAGTAGCTGCTAAAGGAGCTCTTTCTGGACGGAAAGCAGAAGATACAGCAATGACCAGCTCTGAGAATGCAATAGCTTTAATGAATGATGCACAAACTGCGCTTGAGAATGCAAAAAATATGCTTGAAAGAGCAACAACTATGCTTAAGAAAAAAAAAAGTCAGAAATTGTTAATTTGAATATAAAAACATATATGGATATCAAATCAAATAAAACATTTAAAATAAGTATTCAGTAACCTTTTAAGACAATCTTCAGTGTTATCGATTAGTGGCACCATTAAAAGTCGTGGAATAACTGTAAATCAAAAATGCTATTTAGATTAATTTGGTTATGTTGTATTATTATTGTTTTCTTATTAATGCATGTCTGTATGACAATTTAGTCACACATTTAATTTGTAAGGATTCATTTTCCCATTTTATGCACATTTAGCATGTAGCAGGGCTGGGTTTCTTTTAAAGTCAGGTCAAGTCACCTTTATTTATATAGTGCTTTATACAATACAGATTGTTTCAAGACAAGTATATTGAAGTAGTATATGTTGTTTGTCATGGCATCTGAAAAAAAAACAACATATTTTTAAGTTTTGCTTCAGTTTACTCTGAAGAATACTTATAGAATACTTATGAACGATACTTATCTTTTTTCTTTTTCTGATTATATTGCATTTCAGTTTCATTTCTGCTTATAGTCTGTCAATAAAAATTTGAAATGATTTATTATGTATCTAAAAGCATCTACTGCCTGCACTTTCTGAATGTCAATGTATAATTAACTAGTTCTGGTTGGTCTTTAAATAATGATTTGCCAGCCAAGAGAGAGAGTACATGGGAAAATGACATTGTATTAATTGTATAACCATTTTATAGATCAGTATCAACATATACATGTGTGTGTGTGTGTGTTATGCCATCTATAGAAGTAAATTGCATGCTTGTTGTTCGTGCCTCCTCCACGTCATCTGTGTGGTAATATCCAGTTTGATGTTCACCTCCAATGTATAACACACACAACAAGTGTGACTGGTGAGCACCACTGTTCAATGTGTTCCCAAAATAATAAAAGTCTACTCTAAAACACAAATTGGTGTCCATTGTGAGTTTTATCCAACACAATGCAAAGAAAAGACCCAGCAAAGGTAGCAAGTACTGGTTCTCAGTTTTATTGGTAGGGTGTGGATTGAAAAGTCACCCTTACAAGAATATCTATATAGCTTGTAACTGTAGTACACATGGGGTAAACTGCACTTACCAGTTTTCCAAATCACTGCACTTGCAGCATGAAAAATGGCATGCAGATTTACATTTCTTGAGTCACTAAACTTATATTATCATTAAAATGAATAGGACAACAGCACTGCTGATACTTAGACAGTAAAACAGCTTCCAAATGAACACAATACCACTGCAAGGAATTAGGCTTTGAATAACATGATGCACGTAGTTCTTCTCAACATTTTTTTTTTGCAGTTGACCAGAGTTAATGCAAAAACTGTTAAGTTGACAGATTTCGTCTGCAGCCTACATTCGTGTTTAATCTAAACACACAATGTTTTTTTATTTTCTTTCTCATTGTTCAGAAAGTGAAATTAAGTAGTCAAAAGTTACATTTTAGTAAACTGTACTCGCAGAGGAGTTTCATAAAATGTGTTTGTTCTCTTAAATAAACCACATCTGTGTCGCTGATAAATTTACATGCTCTTTTTTTTTTTTTTTTTTGTCGTTACAATGAAAGTAAAAGGGTCGAATGTTGATTGCAGTCCAGTCTTCTTTTAATTTCCGCAGAAGAAAGTCATAAAGGTGGGTCTGGATCAGAATAAGCTGCACGCACCAGAACTTATGATTTCCAGGAAAGTTCTGGCTATGTGAGACTAAATGTGCACTGTCACCTTCCCTCTATTTGCATTTGTTAATTCAGCAGACACTTTTGTGCCGAAGCAACTGAGAAAAAAATGAATACAACAAATCAATTAATCCTATAAGGAGGCAATAACAGGAGATACAAAGTTCCAAACTGTATCATCTCCAAAAACATGAACACATCTGTAACTTTGAAAGGGTTCGTTTATCATCTATAACAGGGCTCCTCAAACCTACTTCTGGAGGGCCACTGACACTAATTAAACACACCTGACCAGTTAATCAAGGTCTTTAGACTTATATTTCCAGGCAAGAGTATAGGAGCTACATTTTACAGGACAGTGGATGTCCAGGAGCAGGATTGGACAACCCTGATCTACAGTAACAAAAATGTTGGATGACTCTCTGTGCAGGAGATGACGCTCGTGCAGCATGTGAATTAACAGTCAGATGTTAATTTTTCTTTATTTTTTTAATCCAGTTATCAGAGCAAGTTAGTAGAGTGTAGAGGGGAGTGGAGCAGTGAGGGTCGAGTCATTTTACCAGCACTGCCCGGCCCAGATTTACCACAGCATGTTACAGCACAGAATGGCTTTTGCAGAGAGAAGCAAATACACTAAATAGAAATTTCCAGTCGGCGTGTTTTATTGAGTGGACTTTGCATTTTCCTGTGAGCGTGAGACAGTACCTGAGTGGAGCATTTGCTCGGGCCATGAGCGACTATTGAGGAATATTGAGCGGAGCATCACATCGCACAGTGATAACGGCAGAGTAAGTGACACATGAGCAGATATAAATCGTTTAATGCACAGCTAGTGCATTATCCCACTTATACCATGGCCATCTGCCAGCATTGACAAGTTAAAACTGTTAATGTTTGCAGAACATGACAACGAGGTGGTACAGAAAATCCTGAACACCTTCAAAGATGAGCACGTCTTGAAACACACAGTGATCTTATTCACTTTTGGTGAGCAGCTAGAAGGCAAGACCACTGAAGAGTTTATGAAGGACTGTTCACAACTTCAGGAGCTGGTTGATAAATGTGGAGGTCGCTGTCACGTCATCGACAACAAATACTGGAATAAACGTAAACGGGGCAACAAGAGCAACAAGGTACAGGTGAAAAATCTGCTGGAGACCATTGACAAGATTGTGGAAGAAAATGGCCGCTTCACCAGTGAGGTGCTTCTAGAAGTGGAGAAACACATTCAAGAGGAGGTGAAGAATATAACCGAAGAAAATGTGCCTCCAGAAGAGCAACGTGAAAAAGCAAAGAAAATTGTTCATTGCAATTATCTGAGGCAGTTTGCAGGAGCAGCAACAGAGGCCGTGCTTGGTGCTCTTATCGGAATCAGTATGTTTCCATCACTCTGTTTTAATGCACATTTTGAAGTATCGCATGAGAAACGAGTGATGGAAATGCCAAATTTCGAAAAGAAATCCCTTAATTCACAAAAAAAGTGTTTACGCTCGCTTGAGGTGGTTTTTGACTTGTGCGAAAAAGGGTTAATGTGGATAATGGGAGATGGAAATGCATTTTGTGAATAAATCCCGCATGAGTGTTCAAAAAAGTCACATGACTTTGCGCTATGGGACAGCATAACCTGACTAACCAGCGGACCGCTTTAGTTGCACAGCAACTGAAATGTTGTTATGGTCATTCTGAAACCCGGCTAGTGTTGTAGTAGCTGCATTTCTGTATATTTTGAAATCATACTTATCTCTAAAAGCAGCATTTGAAGCAGTGGGTGTAGGAGCAGCAGCTGGTTCAGGTGTCGCTGCAGGTGTGGTTGGAGGAGTTGCTGGATGGAAAGCAGCAGAAGAAGCTGAATCTGTATGTGGCACCATAGCAAAGGTGGCATCGGACACCTTGAAGAGTGGAATATTTATGATTAAGGCGATAGAAGAAAGGATTGGTCAAAATTATATTGAATATTAAAAAACAAACAAACAAACATTTAATTCATGCTTATACCTGTTTGCATGTCATACAAACCTTGACACTTGACATGAACCTCATGCAGGCCATCTATCTATCTATCTATCTATCTATCTATCTATCTATCTATCTATCTATCTATCTATCTATCTATCTATCTATCTATCTATCTATCTATCTATCTATCTATCTATCTATCTATCTATCTATCTATCTATCTATCTATCTATCTATCTATCTATCTATCTATCTATCTATCTATCTATCTATCTATCTATCTATCTATCTATCTATCTATCTATCTATCTATCTATCTATCTATCTATCTATCTATCTATCATCTATCTATCCGTCCGTCCGTCCGTCCGTCCATCCGTCCATCCATCCATCTATCCATCTATCTATCTAGTGTGTGTTTATGTGTGTGTGTGTGTAGTATACATATGCAGATGCACATTTTGTATCTTTGAACATATCTCTCTGTTCAGATTAAATGCATATCTTTAAAACAATGAAAATTGTGTTCAATTAAAATGTGTATTATTAAATTGAATAAACTATATAAACTATAGAGTTAAAATTTTATGACAATTTGAACTACAAGTTCAAGAAAACGAATCAGGGAATTAATTCAAGTTATAAAAAAGTCAAAATAAAAGTATGCTAATTACAGTTTTTCTCAGTCGCTTTGGTACATTTCTCAGATCAGAATTGAAATTTTCAAAACTACCTGTTCAATCTTCACATCATTGTCACTTGTGCACATCAAAAAAGCAGTTTCTCATTTCTTTGAACAAGTTGCAAATGCTTTGGTACATCCATGCAAATGATTATGTACAATTCTCTGCTGTTTCCTACATTATCAATTGCTTATGTCATGTTGATCAAAATGTATTATAATGGGTCTCTGTTGAATAGTCTCACCCCCCACAACATTTAGGCATTAGTTCATAGCATAAGTCTTTACATGCAAAATGGTTGAACAAGTTGTCATAATATGTCAAGCATATTTCTATACATTTCCATTAGACTTTTTTTCTAAATCTGTCCTGCATTGGTAAATTGCTCCCAGGTGAATCTTGATTTTCTCTAACGAAGGTGCATCTCATGAACCATCAACTGGCAAGTATATATATAGCCGGAGCACAACACAAT